ACTGGTCTTTACCTTTTAATGGTCATTATTTCAAGCCTTCCTTACCATTCTTACATCAAAAGACATTTACTCCACCAAAGGGAATTTTAAAAGCATTTTGTGTTTTGCTTACTGTGTACTTGAAGTGGCTACAGGAAGCAGAGACTTTTTAGGGCTCTTTGTTTGGTGTTGCCATTTAATTACTTTGCCAAGGATTCTTCCAAGAGCTGGAGAAGAGTGAAAGAAAAGGGAATCACAGAATCCCAGAATGGTTTGGGTTGGAATGGACCTTAGAGGTCATCTCATTCCATCCCCTGCCATGGCAGGGACACCTTTCCACTGTCCCAGGCTGCTCCATGCCCTGCCCTGAGCTCAGCACAAGTGGCCCAGGGCATTTAAAGCCATGACCATTGACAGGGACACTCCACCTGTCCCCATCTCCTGCCTGTCCCTGCTTTTGTGGCCATGGTTTCCTTCCCCCCCACCACAAACAGTTTTTCCATGCAACTGGGTCACCTTTGAAAGTCAGCAGAAGTGGAGTTACTTTGTTTGAAATAAAAACATGTATTTCTATCACCTCAGGAGTCGTTTCTGTTTCGGCACAGGGACCCTCTGATCCTCCCACCTCCTTTTATCAGCATCTTCAAAAGAGAAAGGCAGTTATAATTGCTTTCTCCCCTCGCCACAGAAGAAAGGGAGAGGCTGCTGTTCCCCTGCACTGGCATCCTGAGCAGAAACATGCTCTGAGCAATCCTTTATTTACAGAACAAAAATAACATCTGGATTTCAAAGGGCAGAGCAGTTCAGAAGAATGAGGCTCTCTCTGCTCCAGATTCCCACCCCCTACTCTGCCTCTCTCCTCACTCCAGGGGCTTCTCGCTCTCTTTCTGAGCATTGTTCTGCTTTTGCCACAGAATCCCAGAGTGGGATTTGGTCTGGAAGGGACCTTAAAGCCCATCCAGGGCCACCCCAGCCATGGCAGGGACACCTTCCACTGTCCCAGGCTGCTCCAAACCTGGCCTTGGACATTTCCAGGGATCCAGGGGCAGCCACAGCTTCTCTGGGCACCTTCTGCCAGATGTTCCCCACTCTCAGAGTGAGGAATTTTCCTAATATTTAATTGTTAACCCTGCCTTCTGTCAGTTTGAAGCCATTAGATACCCTGTGGAGAAGCAGGGAGCAGAAAAATAGGAAGCAGTCAGTAGTTCCACAAGCCTGGTTTCTTCCAGCTCTTTTTGACTTTTGCTTTATTTTCTGGTTCCTGATTCAGCAGAATCCTCTGAGTGCTGTCACACAAAGCATGTCCCCCACACCTGAACCCATCCCATTCCAGTGATGGAAAATTTGAATTTTCTGTCACTTTAACCCCTTCATTGCTTTAAAGCTGATGAATTGGTGTCTTCAGAGCCATTAGCAAAGGTGGCTGATATTCCCCAAAAAAAGCCCACAAGTTCTTAGTAAGGACAAACTAATTAACAATTTGTTTTTATTAAGGCTAAAAATTCACCTGCAAACTGCCACATCCCCACTGTCCCTGCCAGGCAGCCTGAAAGGCACCTTTGGGATGTGACACATCTCATTTCAACACACAAATTTTGCAGGAAAAACTTCTGAGAATCCCTGAAAATTAACAGCAAGCTTGTTAAAGCCACAAAGAGATTCCATCCCAGCCTGCTGCAATGCCCTGCTTGGAAAACTGCATTTCTATAAATGTATTTATAAAGAAATATGTATAAATATGTTTATCCTGTTCAGCTGATGAATTGGCCACAGGGATCACTGAAGACAACTGCAAAAATGAAATGATTGATTAACCTTGTTTCTCATATAATCAATAAATTCCAAACACCGAATGAAGACAACCATTACAAAAAAAAGCCATTTATTAGATATATGTACATATATACATACACATGCAAAATGATTTTATACACATTTACACAGGTTCAATTATTAATACAGTGCAAAAATGTCTAAAAAGGTACCAGCCCACCTTCTACAAACTCAACAGGTCTTTGGGAGAAAAGGGGGAAAAAAAAAGAAACCAGAGAATTACCAGCTCCATAAAGTGACTAAGCACTGAGCAAGCAAATTTGGAAATTATTGAAGTTTATTCTTTGCCAATTTGCTTGTGCTGAGCTGCTGGGTGAGGAGAAGAGCTTCCAAAAGACTTCTCTTGCAAAGTGACAGAATGAAGAAGATGCAATTCAAACCACATTAACCAGTTTAAAGCTGAAAAAAGGGATGGATTTCTCTTTGGGGATTTGATTCAATACAGGAATTATGAGTCAGATTTTGTGTTCTCAAACTGCAAGTCATTCTTTTTTATCAAATCTTAAAGCACTGAGATCAATGTAAACTATTCTATTCCTCTTGCCAAGAGAAAATGTTTAACTGTATTAACAATGTGTGGACATGGGATAAATACCACATTAAAAATAAAAATAGATCAAATTCTGTGTGTTCTGCCTCATCCTGGAACCCCAAACCTATGAAGTGCACACAGACTAACCCATGGAGATTCTTTAATATGGTTTACACCTATTACAGGAAAATAAAAGGTTGCAAAGGGATTAAGACCAACACCAAAGCAGAGCTTTGTCACTGGGCAGAAAACACCTGAAGATTCAGCCACATTCCCCAAAAATCCACAAAGCAAAAAAAATACAAGTTTAGGCAAAGGCAGAACTGAACCAACTGATTTGGTTTGATTTTACTGAAATGTTTTCAGGAAAACCAATTCAAAAAAAGCTGAAATGAACCTTTCTCCACTCTGTTAATTGCACAATGATGCAGACACCCTGTTCCAGCACTCCCCTGCAGAGCTGTGGCTGCCATCCCCTGGCTCAGGGATGGCTTTGGTTCAGGACACAGCAGTTGGATGCTGAGGAAGCAGCAGGAATCTTCCAACTTTTCCAATCAGCTCTGAGAAATGCCCTCTGGAAATGCCCTGTGTGGAGAAACAGGAAAAGCTCTTCTGGACTCTTTAGCCAGAGTGGGGATAAAAATGCAGGAGAAGGGGTTTGGCTCCTGTCCTAAAGTCCTTTCCATGGAGATCTGTCTGTCTGTATAAAATGCTTCATCCTTTCCCCACATGAATCCAGTGGGTTGACACCAATTTATGCTCCTGGAAAACACCACCAGTCACTAGATCCACTATCCTTAAAGTGTTGCATTTTTAGTGTCAGATTTTTGGAGTGTTCTTTTTGCAGATTTTTTTTTTAAAACTTGTAATCCAAACTCTGAGTGGTTGAGTTCCCTGCAGTCTCCAGAATTAATTTAACTGGGAGTGAACAGTTTGAAAATTAAGTGCAGCACAAAACCCCTCACATCTGTGGGGTCATCTTGGTGTCTCAGGGACAGTGCTTGAATTGTAGCTTCATTTCTCCACAGACAGAAAACTGGGATAATGACAGACAAACAACTTTAATTCCCTCCCTTATAAGAGAAAACCTTTCCCTTATGGCACACAGCTCCAGCTGTGTCCTTAAATGCCTGG